CATCGTATCTGAAGGTCCCTCCTGTTAAGGTAACAAGAAGTTATAGCAGATTACAGAAAAGAAGGGCTTAAAAAGTGGGATCTCATAACTAGATATAATTCCACCCAAACTATTGAAGCTCTGTTACTCAGTGGCCTCTGTGGGATTTTGATGCTTTTCACTGGAATGTTAAAAGGCAGCATTATAGCATCATGCTATAATGCATGCATGCCCAACGTCACAGTGCAGGCAGAAAAAGGACAGAGCTTGTATCACAATTTCATAATGATGCTTTGGTCAGTCTGACTCACTTGGACCCCATGACACTGTTGTTCCCATTTACATTTAAAGATATTATATATGTAAATCAGGGGTGGGCTTCAAAAGTTTTAGCAAGGGGCTCTCTGCTCGGTTGTTGGGGGGCATAGCCATGGTGGGCATGGCTTAGTTGGCCTCCTGCACCATAGGGGAGTTGCCCTCCCCGTGCTCTGGAGGCTTTCCTAGAGCCTCCAGGAGGGCAAAAATGACCTCCCTAGAAACAGACCCATTTCCAGCCTTCCCAAACTTCCGGTAGGCACATTTTTCGCCCTCTCCAAGCCTCCACGTGTGCCCTGCACCTACCTGCATCCAAAACAGGCCACGTGGGGACTCCTGGGATGGGCGGGACCAGCTAGGAGTAGGATTTGGGAGTAGGATTTGAACTGCACAGGATCTTAGCTAAAGGTTCCCCCGAACGCCTGCAAATCCCCAGCAGCTGATGTAAATTAATGAAATATTTGACAGGCAACTCTGTGACAGTGATCATGGTGTTTGGCAACAATGAAATAACCTAAGTTTCTGAAAGGACTCAACTCTGTTGATAATCTCCAACTAATAAAGAATAGCACCATCAGATTGTAAAAATGAATTCAAAGCCTATCGATGGAATTTGTCAGATTTTGCAACTATGCCCTTTCTACCAAGAGAATGGAGGTATTTTCTACTTCTAAGATAAAAACTTTTCTGTTTTTTTAAATATATAAAATAGGTGCATTGAGTTGGAGCCACCTTCTTTACCAACCCACCCAACATAAAAGAAAGTTTAAAAAGGGCTCCTTCCAGGGAAGTCACTGTTATACCTCTTGCTATTCTTGGAAACTTTGAACAAGTTTTTGTCTTGGTTTTTTTTTTTAAGTTCCTGGATAAAAAAGACCTATGTACTATATCTTAAATCAACTTTTTCCAACCTACCCTCTTCTAAATCCATTTTTTCAAACTTGGTACATGTGTGGAATTTAACTCCCAGAATTTTTCCAAAAGCTTGAAAAGAGTGCTCTAATTTTGCTAGTTACAAATACACCCATAATAATCAAGTAAGTTCCAGATCAAAGTTTGAACACATTACCAAATGAGTAAGTTATTAAATACTGCTTATCTGTTTGTAAATTGCAACAGTCAATTATTTAGCAACTGGTCCGACTGAGAATGAGTCCCACAGATTCTTTTTCTTTGATCTATTGCTCCACTCTAATCTAGTCCAATTCAAGGTCTTTTAGCCAAGCGAAATGTCTTAAAATAAATTTTCTAAGAACCTAGTGAAGTTACAAATTTCAGCGGTTTCGGTTATAATGATGCACTGTCACAGGTATAAGTCTCATTATATATGCTAACTATAATTCCTAATAAGGTGATGAGTCCTCTTTTTTTTTAACATTCACATAATAGCATTTATTCCCATGGGAGGAAATGTATTGATTACATACACAATCAATATCCTGTGTAATCTTACTTTGAATCACAGATTGCAGGATCCAAAATATTACAGATAATGGTCCATATGATGATCCTGTATTGTTTTTAAAATGAAAGCATTTTTGTCTAAATTTGGCTCACAATTCCGAGAGAAAAATTTAAAAATCCCACATTTTGCACTTTAAGATGAGTAGTGTTGTTATTAAAAGGTTGGACCTGGGGGACCCGGATCTAAATTATGGTATTTACTCAGTAACATTGGGCCAATAAATCTAAGTCATGTCATCCCATCCTGCAGTGTTACTGTGGAAATAAAATTAAGAGAGATCCTTTGCAAGTCCCTTGAGCTCTCTGAGAAAAAGCAGGATATATAATGATGATGTAAATATTTAACACAAAATATGCACAGTAATCTAAATTGGCCTTAATAGATTTCAAAATATTTTCAGATACATATTAAAATTATTAAAAAATAATTATAGCTATTGAAGGATGTACAAATAAGCTATTTATGTTGCCTGTAAATACAGATATTTTATTATTCCTATTTTATTAAATGGGGAAAACACTATGAAGAGGGCATATTAACTTTGCTAGGATCAATGACATTTATCTTTTACATTCTTGTGTTTTGTATAGTATTAATATTATTACTGCAATATCATATAGATTCAAAAAAGTGTATTTTTCTCATATAACTGCTTACATATGTATTTCATATATAGGGCTTTAGATATTATTGTGTACTAAATAGAGAAAGAAATAAAATTTCATGTGTTTTTTGGCTTTTAATCAGTGAATTATATGCCTTTTCTTCCTCAATGCATATTTACAAATTTATTTAATCAAATGAATCTAAAATGAAGCTGGACTTTACACCAATAAATATCTTTTAACTTTAACCTATGCACATTTTCTATGAATTACAATGAGTTAACATCAACCTATGTATGTTTCCTTTCCTCTGCATAATTGTATTTAATCTTCATGTATGACAGTATTTCAATAATGCCTCAAAATCTGTAAGATGTAAACATGTGTACATATGTAAAAACTAGAAAATATTTATTTTATATCATAAACTTTACATTAAATAGGTTCTCACATGAGGCCCTGGTTCAGTTATTACGCATTAATTAGGAGCAACTCAATATTTACTTGCCAGCAATTTTATATTTTAGTTTTTTGAAGTTCAGTAATGGACACTTTGAATTTGCTTTAATGAGTACAAAGGGTTGCCAATCAGAACCATCTCTTAAACAGCCTCCTGGGACCATTGAGTTAATGTTTAGTGCATAGCACTTATTTTCTATAAAATTTCTGGATAAACATGCACCAACAATCTTTCTGCAGTAAGTAGAAAGCATATACATGTAAAGAAAATATTGCTCATAAGTAAGAGAGTTTGGCTTATTTGTATTATATTGTAATACAGATTATCGGATTGTCCAGTTAGCATACCTTTGCCATGGCCCTGTAGGAGGAGAGTGGACTGTGGTAGCCAAAAATCAAAAAAGATTTGTTGCCAAAAATTTTCAAAGCACTTCAGTCTTCAAGAAAATTATATTGCAGATTCCAAAGGGACCATTTTGGGGAAATAGAAAAGCAGCATGGTTGAAAGATTGTCGAATCATCAAAGGGATTTTGGGCTATCTCAAAAGAGCTAAAAACAAACACAATGGATTTTTAACCCATTTCAGGTACTTGCAGCCCATCTCATTTGTAATCAACATAACCAATAAGTCTTCCCCTCCTTTTCTCCTCCCACTAATTGAAATCCTAGATCATTCTATGCATCCTAGATTGCTCTGTGAGTCTGTTGATGCGCAAACCCTTATGCCTTTTAAGAAAATTTGCTAGGCTGAAAAGGAAAATCAGTCTCTGAAAAGAGGAAAGGGGTGATTTTAGTGACGAGTGGATAGGGTGGCAATTCAGTGGGAAAACAAATGCATTGCACATACTAATACTAGTTAACTGCATTTCTTACTCCAAGTACACCAGCAGAAAATTCTCTGAAATCCTAAAGGGCCACTGGTCAATCAGCATAAACTAAAATTGCTGGATTAGATGCACCCATGGCCAGGTTCAATATAATCCAGTTTCCTTAATTTCTACAGAATTGAAAATTGGCATGTGTGTCCTGTGTGACTTGGGAATTTAAAAGATCAGGATTTATATGCTTAGACAATACTAATAAAAATATAGCAAATCTAAAAAACGTGCCTGAGGTTTTTTTGATGGCTTCTTGAAGAGCCAAATGCTTCTGGCTTCCAGTATTTTCCAGGACAGGTTCCAATTCAATGCCTCTATGGGAATCATTTAAAAAGCCTTCCCACACAGAGCTAATTTGTGATCAAAAAAGAACTTCTTGTGCTTGAATGGAACCTCCCACAAGGAGCTTCTTGGCTCCATATAGGAGTGCAAATATTAAATGAGGGTTGGAAATGTATTTTAATTGACTCCCGCCAAAAGCAAACAGTCTTTCATCTTAGAGATGGTGTAGCAGTTTTTGGGATAAGTTTGCAATCAACTATCTTGGGAAGAATATATTGAGGCTATTCATTTTATTAGTGCACAAAAATCGAACTGCAAATAAAACTAGGAAAGTCCGGGTAACATACACAAGACTCAAAAGTTCGGACTTGAGGAATTTTATTTATTTATTTATTTATTTGTCAATTTTTTACAAGATAAAAGGTATAAGAATAAATATGAGTATGAATGAAATGGGTACGAATAAAAGGGGACAGCAGGAAATCACACTCCACGCAGCCCCCTCCCAAAACCGTTGGGAGTGCAGTTTCCCCACGATTAAACGTCTGAAGGTACGGAAAGCCGAACGGCGCGTTAAAAGAGCGCTGCGACACTCCCGCTGGCGCACAAGCCCAGGAGGTAAAGGCGTCGCTCTTTTTGGGAAAGCCGCCGCCTTTAGCCTCACGGCGTTCTCCTTCCGAAACTAGTTAGAGACAGCTCTTTCCTTCCCGATTGGTCAAAACGCCCGCACAGGCGCAGAAGGCAAAGTGATGTTCCCGACAGGCTGCGGACGAGTAGGGTACGGGACGTTCGAATGGGAGGAGGAAGGGAAGGGAAAGGAAGAGTCGGTGAGGTAGGGGGAGGGACTTGAAGCCGCGCGTGCGCGGAGCGTGCATTGCTGTTTCCCCGCGTCTCCTTCCCCGCCCCGCCCCCTCGCGGGTTCGGGGCGCTCTTAGTCCAGCGCGCACGCAGCCACCTGCGTGCGCGGGTGTCAAGTGGCACGCACGAGCGAAGGGTGTGTGCGTGTAGGGACTCCGCCTCGGGAGCACGAGCTGCGCCGTTGAGGCGCAAAAAAACCCCCACCAAACCAACCTGAGGGAAGGTCGCCGCTCCGTTCTTCTTTTCGTCTTCCCTGCTTATAAGGCAGCCTTCGGCAGCGGTGGTGGCTCCCCGAGGACTCTCCCGACCCCGGGCTATGACCTGCCTCCCAAGCTATCTGAGTGGCGGCAATCCCGGTGCCACCCTCCGCGCCTTGCTCAAATCTTTACGGCGGCAACCGCCGCCAAGGAGACACCTGGCCGTCCCGCGCGTCCGTTTGGCTGAGCCCGCGGCTTCTTCCTTCGCCGCCGCCGCCACAGCTGGACTCCCCCTGCGTTGCCCCTCGCTGGCGGGAGAAGGGTCGCCGCCGTCGTTTTCTTCTTCGTCGCCGCCCTCCTTTCCCCTTCCTTCTCCTTCCCCTTCGCGGCGGTGCCTCGGCTCCGGCGGCCGCTCGAGCTTGTCCTCCAAGGCCGGCGGCGCCTTTCGCCCATCCCGGGTAGTGGTGGTGGCCAAGACGACCCGTTACGAGTTCGAGCAGCAGCGGTACCGCTATGCGGGGCTCTCCGAGGAGGATCTCAAGCAACTGGTGAGCGGCGGCGGCGCCTCGGGTGGGCTAGTCCCCCGCGGGGAAAGGAGGCGCAGGAGCCTAGAGGCGGGGTGGGTGGGGGGCAGATGGGGGTGTTGGGCAGGTGGGGGGGCATTTTTGGTGGTGCTCACCCCCCTCCAGGTGTCCCAGGTTGCGGGACCGAGGGAGAAGTCCTCCAGCATACCTGGCCGGCCTCAGGTGAGGAAGGCTGCCTTAGGGACATTTAAAGGCTTCACAAACCTGGTCCTCACACCATTTGAAAACTTAAGGAGAAACTTAGTGGACAATCTGTGGTTGATCTGTGCCTCTCTTTTTTTATGGCCGGGGTCTTGGAGCAGGGGGAAAAGGGGCTTTATAATGTGTGGATATGTAGGCGGTGCAGCTATTTTAATAAAGATTTGATTTGAATTTGGAAGTTTTTATTCAGGTTGGCTTGAGTTCCAGGGGGAAGAAAACTGGGCTATTGGAGAGGAAGAGTTCAAACAAAGTATCGTTGTTTAACATCCTAGACTCCAGAGCAGTGGTTCCCAACCTTTTTTCGGCCATGCCCCATCTAAGCTTCTTTAAAATCCTGATACCCTACCCCCAACATATAATTCTTACTTTACTCAAAAAGTGAACTCTACTCACGCAGAGGAAGCCTAAAAGACCATTAACTTAGTTTAAACAAGGTTCAAATTCCCCCCATTAAAAATCAAATTGCCCCCCTGTGGGGTGTGGGCCCCACATTGGGAACCACTGCTCTAGAGCCAGATTCTGTTATTGTGGAATAAACAGTCCCTGGTCATGGGTGGTTGTTGAAGAAATTTACAAAAGTTACACCAAAACAAATCTCAACATTGGTATAAGATTTGTTCTCTTTGAGGTAGTACATCCAGATCTTGCTTTTCCATAGGCCTTGATATACACATAAGTATGATTAGAAAGCATAGAGATAAAACCAATAAATCTGTTTCATATCATACTGCCTGGTGATTGAATATGGAGGCTGATCCAGTAGATCTTGGGCTACAATAAAGAAAATAGGGCTACATATGTTCTTCTCGCATACTCACTTTCTTTACTTTCTGTTTTAATCAATATATTTAATCAATATATTGTAGCCAGTATTTAAATCAGATGACTTTACAATGTAATTATTAATTCAGGGAAGAGACATCTATAATTTATCTGCTCTCAGTTACACAGAGCAGCAACAGTTGACAAAGAAGAACCAGTCCTCTTTTTACTGTAAGGTTTGGTTGCTAAACTTTTTTTATTGTCCAAGAAATATCAATTAGAAATAGCACCTACCCACTTTCAAGCAGCTTGTTGGTCTTGCTATAAATGTTACAGTACTGTCTTCTGATGTTCTGGAATGCCAGGTTTCAGAATTCAGTTATAATGATTGATTGATTGATACAGTAATTCTGAGATTACTGTATGATGGGTCATTTAGGGAAGACTGTTGAAGCACATGGTTTTGGCTCATCCTTCTATTCAGAGTTGTACAGTATGCTGTAACTCAGCAATATTTAGAACAATTTCAAAGGAACAAATTAAAGTTCTATCTAGTTGGTCATTATGTTCCTGTTAACAGAACAAGTAAATAGCATTTACTTATTCCAGAGCGACTGCCCTTTAGAAGCATACATGCCTTGATATTAGAAATAGCTTTTATGACTGATACTAATTAGCATACTTGTTCTCCATTAAGTTGATGAATTCCACTCAACCATCAATGTATCTTCTAAGGAATTATATTCTTTCATAGTATTAGAATTATGTAAACGAACAGCTAAAGATAAGCAGTTGAGCGATAACATGGAACATTACATTCTTCAGATATTCAATTTTTAATCATGTTTTTGGCTGTTCAGTCTTCAATAATCTAGAAGCTAAGTGTGTTTGATTTCAACTTCTATCACTTCCAGGCAGTACTCCAGACTGGAGAATCTTGGCTTGATACTTCAGTTATCTATTTTAGTTGTTAATTCTTCATTCTTAAGCATACTGAAATTACGGTACCTTTTTTAAAATGCTTATGTGAAATGCAATGTTAACCATTCTGATTATGCTTTACAGTATGCATATATTTAAAATTAAAGTAAATAAATAAATATCAATGAAATAAAATGAGAGCCAGTTTGATCTAGAGGTTAAGGCACCAGACTAGAAACCAGGAGACGGAGTTCTTGTTCTATCTTAAGCTTGAACGCTGGCTGGGTGACCTTGAGCCAGTCACTCTCTCAGCCCACAATGACTGGCTCAGGTGACAATTCCTGGCTTGTTGGCCAATCCTTGATCAACCAATAGATCATCATTTGTTTGATCCAGAAAAAGCAGATCCTGTACTTGGGGGTGGAGATCTAAGAAGAAAAATATGAATGGGATAAAATAAGAACTTAACAGCAATTCAATATCAATTCTTTTGGGTCTCCCAGATCTGTCCTGGGCATCCTGTAATATTTTGAAGTGGACTAGATGAATGCAGATAGAAATAATATATTCCACCAAAAACATTTGTTTTGCTCCTGGGTAAACTTTTTTTTTTAGTTCCGTTCCCATTCAATCCAGCTTACTTTTTCTTGGCAGCAATTTTTTTTGGAGCCATGTGGATGTATTGTTTACAGTTGCTAGACTACTGTCCCCCCCCCCCCAAACTTCAAAACAGTTTCTCCAGAATAAGTAGCTTACTGTAGAGCAGTACTTTCACACAATCATCAGTGATTTGTTGTTGGGGAATAGAGTAGAGCCAGATTTTGTCCATGGAACATAGTACTGTTAAGCTCTTACTTATCATTCAAGTCTTGCTCTGTTTTTCAGATGGCAGCAGTGGTGGTTCCTTAAAGTGGTATCACTGTGCTGATTCTGATATTATATGCAGAGGGTGCTTTGATTGTGGAAGCAACACTTCCTGATCACTTGTATTTATTCTATTAATTAGCAAAACATTTCAGTCTTTTCCCAAGGATTTAGAAATGTTGGTACTCATTTGAAACACTTTTGTCTATTCAGTAGTGATAAAATAGTTACTAAATAACTTCTTTAAACACTGTTATAGTTTTTGCTTCTTTCTATTGTATTTATCCTAAACGAAAATGACCCTGAATTTGAAAGAAAAGGGAGATTAGATGGAAAAATATTAGAAACACAGGCAGAAATTATTTGCAAAACTCACATTTCCCCACTTTGTCAGTCAGTTTAATCAACTCGTCTGTCTGTGTGTGTTTGTGTGCGGGCGCGCATCTGCATACACACATGTTATTAACAAGTAAATAAACTTAACAGCTAGTAAAATAAAACAAGATAACTTGTGTTTTTTAGTTGCTCCAGTTTTGTTGAAATGTTCATTTTGAGTGTCTAAATTAAGAAATTGGAACTAGATAAAGTTGGTAATTTACCATAGATGAAGAATTGTTTCTGACATAGAAATAATTTCCCTCTCTTTCTTGCAGTTCTTTAGGCACCCTTAATATTTCTTCAGGACAGTAGGCTAATAGTAAATTTTAATTTTTACCTAGAATAATTAATATTTAAGGGATTTTTGTAACCCTTCCAGTCATTACACTTCAGTATCACTAAGAAAATAAATTGTAAACTAGAATATAAAGACTGAAACATATATATTATCTTTTTCAGTCTTTTTTTCCTGGCATGTAATTTTGGTAGGACATTCTTAACCTGATGAGATTGGCTTTGTTGACTTTTTCAGAGTCTCTGGAAAAGACTCTGATAGTGAGTATTTACGACATATTCTGATAGCATTATCCAAAGGTCAGACATTTGGACACATTAGCTTTAGTTAAAGAAACATTTTCAGTGAACTAAGTTGGTTTCATTGTATGACTGGATTGAAACATTGTCTTTTGATATATGTAGTTAATAGGTGTTAATGGGATGGAAAGAAAAGTAAAGAGTAAAAGTGTAAAAAGAAAAAAAAATGAAATAAAAAGAAAAGAAACATAAAGAAATTAGTTCCACTCTTCATCACAAGTATAAACAAATTTGATAGCTCTTCACTGTAAAATTGAACATATCTCTTCTTTCTATAACCATTCCTTACTTATAAGCAAATCCATAAAAACATCAACTTTTCAGTAGATTATTTTTTTGGAAGGATGTCACACATCAGCCTCTAGAATCAGAACAGGTAAAATGCCTCATATTAAACTATGTTGTCATTAAATAGAGCAGAGTGGAACATTTCAGTTAGCTTGGATAAGGAGTTCATGTGCAATGTGACTTATGTACATATGAGTTTATTGTGAAACTAAGATATAACAGCAGTTGTGCCATTCTAATTATGACCTGGTGTGAAGGTCTTTTACTTTAGACTTCTGATATACATATTTTGAAAGGTTTGAAAGTCTTGATTTTTTTTAAAAAATACCATGGTATTTCAAAATTCCTGGAGGTAAATAACACACACAGCATTCACAATGTAATATGTGGGTTACATTCATTGAGAAGTGCTCTGAGCAGGGATTACTATAGAAATATTATGTATCTTTTTTGTTATTTCTGACCAACTGTAGTCAGGTATATTGAGTAATTTTGTAAAGAGTTGATGTTTTAATTCCTTTTTTGGTGCATTATTGTATTAACTTGACTGCTTAATTAAAATGAAATGAAATATAGCATTGTTCCTCTAGCTTTTTGCTGGCCATATACTCACTTCGTTGTGAATTTATAATGTACACAAGTTGTATATTAAGAATCTACCATAGTTTTTCTCTATACATGCAGCATTGACTATATTCAGACAATACTCTTTCAGTTTAGTCAGTCAAATACTTGTAGTTCTGTGTATCTTTCAAAATATGTCCAATCAGCTAAATAGTCTGACAATGAATACAGAATAAGCCAAAATTTTGAGCGCTGCAGAGAATTGTAATGAAGTGGTTGTTGAAAGTATTGCCTATTAAAATATGGCTGATTCTGTTTTCCCACTTGTTCTATATTTTCATTGATTTACTAGGTTTATTTTAAATTCTATTTTCTGTTTGGTTACCGTGATTGAAATAACTCAAATGTGTGATTACACAACAGCTTTGGAGCTCTTCCAATTTGTTGACAGCCATATTCATGTAATTGGGTCACGTGTGATTTTGTGTACTACTTACTAGATAGTAGGAAATGCAAAAGTTATTGCAACTATTCCTTTGTAATGATAAAACTATGAAGTGGTTTTATGCAAGGTAGACATAATCCACTACTCCTCTCTACAGGATGGGAAGTCTATAAGAATGATCTGTCCAGGCGATTAATAGACTGTTCTCAGAGACTTATTTCATACTAGTATTAAAATCCTGGTCATTAGGAATATAGAGATGATCCAAGTAACTGACATCATTGTTCTAGGTTGTATTTTTCAATGTAATGCTTATTTAAGCAGTGTCATATTAACTGAAACTGAGGAAAAATGGAAGTCAGAAAATAAAATTCAGACAGATGAAAAACATCATCTTTAATTGAGAAACTGTAGATGATAGCTTCCTAATAAGCAGAATATAAAGCTCACTTGAAATCATGGCTTCATGTCTTTTGCTTTAAAGTTATTAATCATTGTTTCTTAGTTTGAGATAGGTTAAGATGAGAAACTTATGTGGGAGTCAGATGTGAGGCAGTTATTTGTAGATGGCATAGTGATCAGTTCATTAAGATAATATTTGATTAACACAGTTAATGCTTATATATAAAGTCTGTAGGCTTATAGCTTAAAATGGTAATGTGTTGCAAATTCTTACGCTATTTTTTTAATTTTAAAATATTTTTAACTGATGTACTTGTTTCAATTAGTGGAAAAATAATTTTGAAATTTCTAATTCTTTGCATTCTATCTTTTTAAATGCCTGCGTTATTTCAATTTGTTTTTCCAATTTTCTCTTTCACAGCTTGCATTAAAAGGATCTAATTATAGTGGTCTATTAGAGCGGCATCGGATTCATACCAAAAATGTGGAACATATTGTAAATAGTCTAAGGTAAGGGTACATATCAAGAATTTTGATTTTAATTGAAATAATGTCAGTGAGCAGAGGCTCTGAACATTTAAACGTTATTCTTATATTCCCTGTTTTTAAAATATTACATAATGACTCTGATCCAATAGTACAGTCCTCTAGAGTAGAGGAGTCCTCTACTTACAACTATAATTGAGCTGGGATTACAGTCATAAGTCATGCCAATTGTTAAGCAGGTCACCCCATGGCCACTCTCGATTTTACAACTTTTTTGCAGTAATTGTTAAGCAAATCCATTGTTCACAAGGAGTGTTTTTTGCCAGAAACCAGAAGTAAACACTGATTTTCAGCAAAAAAAGCTCATATATTGTGGTCACAAGAACATGGGATATTGCAAACAGCCATAAATACGGGCTGGTTCCTGAGCACCTAAAATGTGATCACCTGTGATCACATTAAAGCTATAATGTGGGAGTTGGGAAGGTTGCCTTCAAGTCAGTCTTGATTCCTAATGGCTGCTTGCACAAGTTCCTGCAGCTTTCTTGGCAAGCGGTTTGCCATGGCCTTTTTTCTAGGCTTTAGAAACTGGCCCAAAGTCATGTAAGCTGGCTTTGCATATAAATTAGGACTCATGGTGTCTTGGTTTCTAGGCTGGAACCTTAGCCACTACACCAAACTGACTCTCTTAATCAGCAACACCTAATTTGAACTGCCAACATGACTGTGGGATACTGCAAACAGCCATAAATGCAGGCTGATTGTTGAGCACCCAAAATACAATCACATAGCTGCAGGGATGTGTGTGTGGCCATTAGAACTCCGAATTCGGATTATAAGCAATGCTAGGGAGGTCAGTCGTAACTTCAAACAGTCACTAAACAACTTGTCCTAAATCAAGGACTACTTGTATATGAACACTGAAGCAAATTGGATTTAGCTTCAAAAGATACTTCTGAGTGGATGGGAATACAAATGTAACAGATGCAATATCTTAAAGCAGAAATGTCTTTGCTGAGATCCTGCTGGTTCTGCAGATAAAATCTGAAGTCCTAATAGATAATTTTGCTCTTTGTTTCTTGTTATGTATAGCAATATATATGTTTTTATTGTTGTTATTTGATCCCTTTGAGTCAGTGTTGACTCCTGGTGCTTTCTTGGCAAGTTTTTTCTGAAGTGGGTTGCTATTGCCTCTTCCTAGGGATGAGAGCTAAAGCAAGGCTAGAATTCATGGCATCCTTATTTCCAGCCTGGTGCCTTAACCACTATACCAAACTGGTTCCTAAATTTTTCTGATTCCAATTGGATTCACCTTAATAAAGCATCAACAAAATTCTGATACTGTTGTTTAATCCTTGCAGATGCATAGATTACATGGATTTAACATGTGAGAGAGTTGAATGCAATAAGTGGATATTTTAACGCAACCGATAACTCGGCCTGATGTAAATTATTGATCTGTTTCATAAGTAGTTCATTCCGTGTTTTCCCCAAAATAAGACAGGGTCTTATTTTCTTTTTAGACACAAAATATGGCTTGGGCCTTATTATGAGGGGAGGGTTTATTGTTTTGGGGTTGCCGGGCAGCTGCTCTCTTGCGAGCAGGCTCCCAAAGAGCCGGGCACAGCCTCATGAGCAAATTGCTGTGTTGCACTGTCGCAGCAGCACAACACAGCAGCCTTGAAGCAACCACACTCATGAGCAGCCACCTGACAAACCCCCTTTCCAACCGGGCAGAGCACCATTCACTAACCTAGGGGTATCACCAAGTCGCGGTGAGCGCCTGTTCGCCACCGCCCGGTGTTGTGGGCCAGCTGCCGGGAGAGCATACAACCATAGAGCGTACGCCCAGAGTGGCCACTGCCAGAAGACTCAGTTTGGAAGCTGCAGAAAAAGCCATGCGGTGGAAGCAGAAGTCCCCTGTCTCTGTGGAGAGAGCTGGGCCAGGGCATTGTGAGGCTGGGAGGCGCGTAAGCAACAGCGGAACAGCTGCTCTTGCAACCCCCCTCTCCAGACATGCAGAGCGCCATTCACTGCCATTTTCGAAGGCACCAAGCCATGGGAGCCAGGCAGCAGCGAACAGGCACTCACATGGCTTGGCGATACTCCTAGGTCAGTGAATGGTGCTCTGCCTGGCTGGAAAGGGGGTTTGTTGGGTAACTGCTCATGAGTGTGGTCGCTTCATGGCTGCTGTGTCAGTGACAGCGCAACACAGCCATTCGCCCATGAGGCTGTCCCCGGCTGTTTGGGAGCCCACTTACAAGAGAGCAGCCGCTCAGCAACCCCCCTGTTCAGCTGGGCACAGAGCCACTCACCAACCTAGCGGTATCCCGAAGGCGCTAAGCAATGCGATCACCTTTGCCTCTCCCCCCCCCCCCGTTCCTGCAGCAGCTTGGCACCTTCGGGATACCGCTAGGTTGGTGAGCAGCGCTCTGCCTGGCCGGAGATGAGGGGTTGTCCGGGGACGGACTTATCTTTTTGCCCATCAAAAAATGTGGCATGGCCTTATTATCAGGACATGTCATAATTTTGGGGAAATACGGTATGAATTTTGTTAGTCTATAGGCTTTACTTTTCACTTCGTTTTTTTCCTAGGAGGCATTGACTGACCTCACTTTTTACGTTTCTTAACTATGAAAACCAGAACAATCACTTGCTTTTCAATATCTCTCTGTAGAAATGAGAAGATTGAAGTTCGGCTTGTGAAACGGAGAGACTATGGTGAAGAGACCGTCCGGTGGGCAGATGCTGTTATAGCAGCAGGAGGTATTAACTTGTGAGTGGGGAAATGTATTTTGAGTCATGAAAACTTGAATAAATACTTTTGCAGCAATATTAAAGCCAAAATTGCCAATCTACAAGTAAGTCTAAGCTAAAATGTTGGTGAATTGCCAGGCCCTGATGAGACTGCAAGATTCAATCAAGTCCAATCCTTTATTTTCTTACAACTAATTGACAGAATATTGCCAAACTAAAGCTATTACTTTCTTACCTACTGATATATCCTGAGAAATTCTAGTGTGTGATTAAACTGAACCTCTTGCTCTTCCGTCTGGGATAAGTTTTCCCATCTTCCCATCTTCTCTTAGCCCTCCCAGCTTGCACCAGTCACTTGCACACTCTCTTTGACATGTGCCTCCCATATACCCTCGTACACACTTCTCAATCCATGCCACACCTTCATGTACCCTCCCGGACATTGTCATGCTTCTCATATATATTCTCTGACTCATACCATACTTTCCCTGACCCTTGTTGCACCTCTTGCACACCTGGCTTGCATTGTTCCAGTATTGTGTATTCTTATGCACCCTCTCCAATCTAGCAGCAACCTGCCTGCCATCCTGGGACTTGTAACTTCCCATTGACTCTTCCACTTACTTTGGTTGTGGGAAGTCCGCAGGAAGATGCTTTGCTTAATGACTGGAGGATTCAGTTAATTATGGCAACTGGACTGCAGGGATTGTTGCTGCTAAGTGATGCAGCTGTGCTTTACAGCCATAATGCTTAGCGATGGAAAATGGTTCAGTTGCCAGGGTGATGGTTGTCACTTTTAAGATTATGTGTAATTCAGAACCAGGTTATCTGAGTGTCCACTTTTATCTGCCCTTGTGAACAAGTCAAATAAGGTAAACTTCCTTTTAAGTCCCATCTATACAAATATGCCATCTGATGAGGTTTTGAAAGTAGACATTTTCAGTTACCTCTCCAATATTCCAAAACTCCTTCTCAACAAATATTTGGTTTAATCCTTGTCTTCTGGGTTTCAGAAAATATCTAGTTATTCCATTAAGTATAGGAAGAGAGGTTATGTTCTCCAATATTCCAAAAATCTTTCTCAACAGACATTTGGTTTAATCCTTGTCTTCTGGGTTTCAGAAAATATCTAGTTATTCCATTAAGTATAGGAAGAGAGGTTATAATTCCTATACAATTTGCTAGATAATGTATTTGTACTTTATTGTATAATGGTGTATTTCAGTGACGTGCGGTGAAGCTTATGGCTGGTGAGGCAAAAAGAAAGAAAGCAGCTTTTGCCCCCCCCCCTGCAGCAGCTATGTCTGAAATAGAGGCACCCTGCGCCCCGTAGCTATGTCCAACCCAGCTGCGGGGCGCCTCTATGTCAAACAGAAGCGGTGGGGTGATTTCTTTCGGCTTTTGCCCGCCCCGCAGGGCAAACATTTCCACCTTGCAGGCGCTGGAGCCGCAGGCCACCAGGAGTACGTCCCGCCCGCAGCAGAGGAGCACCGATTCCTGCCCAGGCTGGAGCGAGAGCCGCGGAGGCAAAAGGCGAAGAGGGGTGGGGGTGGGGGTGTTCCAAGAGCTCCCCTCCCCTTTTTGACCCCCGCAAGCCAGGCCCGCAGCGGCAAGAGGCTCAGCTCCACTTCTATCGCCCCCCCCTGCTCCAGAGAAGCTGGCCGTGGGCGAGTCTCCACAGCCCCAGTTCCATCTCCAAGCAGCCCCGGGAGGAAATGGGCCAGCCCCGCTTCCCCCAGACTTTCCGGGAGCAGAGGACCCGCATTCCGCTCCCCCTTCCAAGCACCAAGTGGCCAGCCTAGGCTCCCGCTGCTTTCTCCCAGAGCTCCGGAGGGCCCGCCGAGGAGGAGCCCAGACGAGGCTGGAGCGAGAGCCGCGGAGGCGAACGGCTGGCCACTTGGTGCTTGGAAGGGGGAGCGGAATGCGGGTCCTCTGCTCCCGGAAAGTCCGGGGAGGGAAGTGGGGCTGGCCCGTTTCCTCCCGGGGCTGCTTGGAGACGGAACCGATGCTGTGGAGACTCGCCCACGGCCGGCTTCTCTGGAGTGGAGGGGGGGGGCAATAGAAGCGGAGCTGAGCCTCTTGCCGCTGCGGGCCTGGCTTGCGGAGTGCAAAAAGGGGAGGGGGCCTCTTGGAACACCCCCACCCCCACCCCTCTTCGAC